GTCGAAAGATGCCAATCAGAAAGATGGACCTGTACATATAAGCTACCTTAACTTAATGGACTTAGCTGGTTCTGAGAGAGTTTCTCTGACGAAAGCTGCTGGTGAGCGTCTTAAAGAGGGGGCTAACATAAACAAATCTTTGTCAGTATTAGGAAATGTGATAAGGCAACTAAGCGAGGGGAAGGAGTTTATCAGTTATCGCGATTCGAAATTGACTAGACTGCTCTCACAGGCTCTTGGCGGTAATGCCAAATCATTGATTATCGGGAATGTTACTTTAGCTGCAGAGGAGGAGACTAGATCTACACCAGAATTCGCCCAAAGCACTAAAACTGTCAAAAATAAAACGAAAGTAAACATCTTGTCAGCTACAGAAGAGACACTTCAAGGATATCAGAACTTGACTCGCGATCTCGAAACTCGGCTCAAAAAGCAGGCAATTAAGCTAAAAGAGATGGATAAAAGCAAACAAGAGTATCTGCTCGAGATAGAAAGACTAAAAACGGAAGTATCTATTGTCGGGCGCTTTCAAATGGGAGCCTCGGCATCAACACCGAAAAAAACATTAAGACGTCATACTTTTGGACACTATGGCAACGTATCACCTAAAAAAGCATCCCTAGGGTATATGCCATTGAAAAATTATCCACCCAAAGAAGAATCATCCGGACGTGAAATGAGGCCTATTCAAGAAGAGACATATGAGGAGGCACTAGCCGAAGCAGAATCTGTGATAGCTGAAGACGTGCAAGTGTACTTAAAAGACAACTCAAAGAACTGGAAGAATCTTTCAATGAGCTTAGAGAATTCACTAAACTAGATAATCAGCTGGAGATTTTGGACCTGAAGAAACAGCTCACAGAAGCCAATTCTAAATTCGATCGTTACAGTCAGGAACTCCGCCAAGTAACGGATGCGTACAACGAAGAAATAGAAAGAGTTCAAAAAAATTCTCAAAAAGCGCAAGAATTTCATCGACTTGCAATACAGACTCGATTTTCTGGAAAAAAATAATAAAAAGACTAAAAACATACGAGTCAGAAATAGAGATGCTGCGTACTCAACTGAAGAACCTAGGAAGATCAGAGAGCCCTAAACCATCTCTTGAAGCTCAAAATATTGAGTCAAAAAAGAAGGTTGCAGACTTAGAAGCTATGCTTGACGCTGAGTACGAAGATATGCAACATTCTTTAAGTGCTGCTGCACAAACTGATGTAACGATGTCACACATTGCTGAACTGCAAGATGAAATTGGCTTCCTAAAAGAACTTGAATCTAAACTGAGAAATGACGTAAAGAGTCTGATGGACGAGAGTAACCAACGTGAGGTCAACCACTCATTTAAAATCTCAGATATACGATGCCATAATGATTCTACTATAAAAGAGCTTCAGGATCAAATGGCTGAACTGGAATGCCAAAACGAAATCTGGATTATGAAAAAGGACGACGAAATCAGAAAATTGCAACAACTAATTACAAACCCGAAGCAGGCTGGCACTTAACCAGAACCACCTGTGCAGGAAGACGTTGCATTTTATAGGGAGCAAGTTGAGTTCTCCCAGAACATGTACAAAAATGAGATAATAGGTGGAGAGTTACGTATAAACCATAGAGAAAATCTTCAGGCAGTTAAACTAGAAATATGTCTACCCTTGTTTAGTGTTTACGATTATTGCAGGGTTTGGACAAAGTTTAGGGCTGATCCCAGTGCTCACAGTGTACAATTTTCAGCTAATAAATCTTGAATTCTGAGGTAACAAAATCAACTAGAACTCTGAAAAAGTGATTTATCAGAAATCATGCCCTTACTTCCATGATAAGAGGGATTCGTAAAAATTATAAGCAGGTTGTGGCTTATTATCTAGTAAAAGATACAAGAATCCCAGATCTGAAAACGATTATTGTTCATGTGATCACAAACTAGCAGCGACTTGGTTTGTGCGTTGTTGGCACTATTTCTAATCAGGGCGCAACGATCAAAAACGCACTTGAGACGATTTGCTCGGAGAATACTCACGGATCAAGTCCATTCCATTTTATAGTCAATGCTCAGAGTATTTCTACAATTTGTGATGAACCACATTTATTCAAAAAATGGAAATGCTCTTATTGACATTAATATGAAAGTGAAGAAGCTGCACAGATTGAACATGTCTAGAAATCATATAATGTTGATCAGCAAACAAGACCATACAAAGAGCTATGTAAATTGAAACCCAGCCACTTTGATTTTATAGATTCGTTCAAGAATATAGAAATTAATCCTTTAATGATATCGTCGGATGATTCGAGCTTTCTCAGTTATGTGGTGGGGGTCCCGTGACTTCTCATACGGTATGAGCACGTATACCTCAAACCACAGTTTAATTTAAACATCACAATTGTTGGTTTGTTGACTTTGCGGTCAAATTTGATCCGAGGATGTCAGTTGCGTGTACGATTTGAACTTCCTTCACAATGGATTTTTTCGTTGTTGACGGATGAACAATACACTATAGACTACGCCGAGGACGACGCTGCTATCGATCAACCTGAACAACTTCCTATGGGCGACCTCGCTATGCCTATGGAAAAAACATGTACAATTGGTCAAAACGAGCGCCTGCAACTGGTCGATTATTACGCATTTACCTGAACTAAAGTCCGTGGCAACCAATTTGGAAAATAATAACCCTGTGACTCGAGAAATGCCGATAAATTTCTCCAAATACGTGAAATTTTCGAGACACTCATAGAGAACTGTCGAAATTGTTATATTTCGGGTGAGTCCCCTACAAAATACGAGATGCTCGTGGGCCGATGTCCTTCCTGTGCCTACAAGAAAACTAAACCGAATAAGTATGGACTGATGATGCAAAGACTCACCACTACCTGCTCAATGCTTTCGTCTATACGAACAGAAATATCACAGCAGATGACTGGTTCACGTCAGTAGAATTACATGTAGAATTGCGCATCAACCAACTGACCTATGTCGGCAGGAAGCGTAAAAATAAGTAACAAGTACCCCAACATGTAGTTCCAAATAAGAAGGAAACACAGCCAGGTACTTCTAAGTTTATGTTGTACAGCCTTAGAGTAGTATCTTCCAAAACCAAATACACATGTTCTCGTATAGCAATCTATGCAGCATGATAACAAAATAGTAGAGGAATCAAAGAAACCTGATAAGATCCTATATTATTTTTATAACACTATGAAGGCGGGGGGTAATGCATTAGATCGGAAGTGTGTAAATTACAATACTGGTTAGAGAACGAGAAGATGGCCTTGTGCTATTTGGTATCCAACCAGCTTCTGTAAATTCCTTTTTTTTTCAGTCTGGGACTGAAAGTTCCATTAGGCGACGAAATTTTATTGTTCCCCTGAGGCAAACTCTAATTTAACTTCGTATGAGAGGACGTTTATCAGATCCAAGACTTCCTAGGGAGCTTCGTTCAGCCATGCAAAGAATCCTAAATTACCAACGACGAATAAAGTAAGCCGTCTACTTCTCAGCCCAGAGTTCTCGATCCTGATGCAGTTGTTAAAGAAAAAAAACGACGTAGGTGTTACATGACAATACACAATGAAAAAAATGTTCTACAATCTGTAATAAGTATGTAAAGTCACAGCGCACTTACATTGTTTCGTGAAAAGTGATAAATGTTAATTATTGTATGTTTCCTTATACGAGAAAGTATTTGTTTTTGTTGTAGAATATCAACACCAAATATGTTGTTAAATGGCCCATTTTGTTAGTTTTTTTATGTTCATATTACAGTTCAAGTTTCGAGGATTATATTTATTGCATTACTCATCTTCAATGGGGTATTTTCGTTTTTAGACAATAAACAGTTTTCATGTAAGAGTGTCTTATGCGTACAAACCTGTTGTACACATGGCTAAAAACAGTAATGGCATTTCAGATGTTGATAGTAAGATCCGGTGGATAACCTGTTTTGCGAGATTAGACGTGGGATTTCCAACACGAACACCATCTGTTTATTTGAAGCATTAAAAACTGTAATAATCAACAATTTCAGTTTTCCATTGACAATAATGAAGAATTATGAAGGCGATTCATGTAAGGCACTAGGTAACTTCGCGTTGCTTTTAGAAGAGTATTGTCTGAATAGACAACAGTTACCTTGTGATTCTTCACCGAGCTGCATTTTTCAAGTTGAAAAATCGGGTGCTGAAAGTGATGGATCTATAGATTTGTGAGAATTTGCTGCTGCTTCAACTTCTTTTTGTAATAACAATAACAGTCTATATGAAATTTAACAATTCTGTTTCTTCTTTGATTTTGAGTCACCCTGTAAATGTAGCTCTACTAAACTATCGGACCGCATTCATAGCCTACAAGAGAAAAAAATCTTCTATACTGGAAAGGAGGAAAAAAAGAATGTATCAACCTGATACATCTGCCCCTCTTTATAACCCGTGAAATAGCCCTAGTTCTAATTAAATTTCAGTTCAAGCTTCCAAAATGACTTCCAACAATATTAAAGTAGCCACAAAGATCAGACCAATGATCCACCGCGAAGTAGCCGATGGTCTAGAGCGTCTTTGGAACGTAAGAGTAAACTGCATATGGGAAGCCGATGAAAGTAGTCGCCATGGAGAGGTTTATATATTCGACCATGTATTTAATCAGGAATGTACAAATTCAGATGTATATGGATCTGTAGTAAAACCTTTAGTCGATTCCTTCATGGAAGGTTTCAATGCCACAATATTTGCATATGGCCAAACATCTTCTGGCAAAACACACACCATTTTGGGCAATAAAACAGATCCTGGGCTTTTCCAATTAGTATCCAATCAGTTATTCCAGCATGTGGCAGACCAGGTTGATAAGAGGTACTTGATTAGATGCAGTTATATTGAAATCTACAATGAAAAGATCAATGACCTCCTGGATAAGAGCAATCAGGGTTTAACTATGAGAAGATATCAAAGGAAATGTGCTGCTTGATGCAAGGGAAGCTGTCGTAGACAATGTTGATAAAGTTATGGAGAACATGATGCAGGGCAATAAGATCAGACGAGTTGCAGCTACTCGCATGAATGAGAGGTCATCTCGATCACACACGATTTTCCGGATTATTCTGGAGTCGAAAGATGCCAATCAGAAAGATGGACCTGTACATATAAGCTACCTTAACTTAATGGACTTAGCTGGTTCTGAGAGAGTTTCTCTGACGAAAGCTGCTGGTGAGCGTCTTAAAGAGGGGGCTAACATAAACAAATCTTTGTCAGTATTAGGAAATGTGATAAGGCAACTAAGCGAGGGGAAGGAGTTTATCAGTTATCGCGATTCGAAATTGACTAGACTGCTCTCACAGGCTCTTGGCGGTAATGCCAAATCATTGATTATCGGGAATGTTACTTTAGCTGCAGAGGAGGAGACTAGATCTACACCAGAATTCGCCCAAAGCACTAAAACTGTCAAAAATAAAACGAAAGTAAACATCTTGTCAGCTACAGAAGAGACACTTCAAGGATATCAGAACTTGACTCGCGATCTCGAAACTCGGCTCAAAAAGCAGGCAATTAAGCTAAAAGAGATGGATAAAAGCAAACAAGAGTATCTGCTCGAGATAGAAAGACTAAAAACGGAAGTATCTATTGTCGGGCGCTTTCAAATGGGAGCCTCGGCATCAACACCGAAAAAAACATTAAGACGTCATACTTTTGGACACTATGGCAACGTATCACCTAAAAAAGCATCCCTAGGGTATATGCCATTGAAAAATTATCCACCCAAAGAAGAATCATCCGGACGTGAAATGAGGCCTATTCAAGAAGAGACATATGAGGAGGCACTAGCCGAAGCAGAATCTGTGATAGCTGAAGACGTGCAAGTGTACTTAAAAGACAACGCAAAGAACTGGAAGAATCTTTCAATGAGCTTAGAGAATTCACTAAACTAGATAATCAGCTGGAGATTTTGGACCTGAAGAAACAGCTCACAGAAGCCAATTCTAAAATCGATCGTTACAGTCAGGAACTCCGCCAAGTAACGGATGCGTACAACGAAGAAATAGAAAGAGTTCAAAAAAATTCTCAAAAAGCGCAAGAATTTCATCGACTTGCAATACAGACTCGATTTTCTGGAAAAAAATAATAAAAAGACTAAAAACATACGAGTCAGAAATAGAGATGCTGCGTACTCAACTGAAGAACCTAGGAAGATCAGAGAGCCCTAAACCATCTCTTGAAGCTCAAAATATTGAGTCAAAAAAGAAGGTTGCAGACTTAGAAGCTATGCTTGACGCTGAGTACGAAGATATGCAAGATTCTTTAAGTGCTGCTACACAAACTGATGTAACGATGTCACACATTGCTGAACTGCAAGATGAAATTGGCTTCCTAAAAGAACTTGAATCTAAACTGAGAAATGACGTAAAGAGTCTGATGGACGAGAGTAACCAACGTGAGGTCAACCACTCATTTAAAATCTCAGATATACGATGCCATAATGATTCTACTATAAAAGAGCTTCAGGATCAAATGGCTGAACTGGAATGCCAAAACGAAATCTGGATTATGAAAAGTGCCCCTCTTTATAACCCGTGAAATAGCCCTAGTTCTAATTAAATTTCAGTTCAAGCTTCCAAAATGACTTCCGACAATATTAAAGTAGCCACAAAGATCAGACCAATGATCCACCGCGAAGTAGCCGATGGTCTAGAGCGTCTTTGGAACGTAAGAGTAAACTGCATATGGGAAGCCGATGAAAGTAGTCGCCATGGAGAGGTTTATATATTCGACCATGTATTTAAGCAGGAATGTACAAATTCAGATGTATATGGATCTGTAGTAAAACCTTTAGTCGATTCCTTCATGGAAGGTTTCAATGCCACAATATTTGCATATGGCCAAACATCTTCTGGCAAAACACACACCATTTTGGGCAATAAAACAGATCCTGGGCTTTTCCAATTAGTATCCAATCAGTTATTCCAGCATGTGGCAGACCAGGTTGATAAGAGGTACTTGATTAGATGCAGTTATATTGAAATCTACAATGAAAAGATCAATGACCTCCTGGATAAGAGCAATCAGGGTTTAACTATAAGAGAAGATATCAAAGGAAATGTGCTGCTTGATGCAAGGGAAGCTGTCGTAGACAATGTTGATAAAGTTATGGAGAACATGATGCAGGGCAATAAGATCAGACGAGTTGCAGCTACTCGCATGAATGAGAGGTCATCTCGATCACACACGATTTTCCGGATTATTCTGGAGTCGAAAGATGCCAATCAGAAAGATGGACCTGTACATATAAGCTACCTTAACTTAATGGACTTAGCTGGTTCTGAGAGAGTTTCTCTGACGAAAGCTGCTGGTGAGCGTCTTAAAGAGGGGGCTAACATAAACAAATCTTTGTCAGTATTAGGAAATGTGATAAGGCAACTAAGCGAGGGGAAGGAGTTTATCAGTTATCGCGATTCGAAATTGACTAGACTGCTCTCACAGGCTCTTGGCGGTAATGCCAAATCATTGATTATCGGGAATGTTACTTTAGCTGCAGAGGAGGAGACTAGATCTACACCAGAATTCGCCCAAAGCACTAAAACTGTCAAAAATAAAACGAAAGTAAACATCTTGTCAGCTACAGAAGAGACACTTCAAGGATATCAGAACTTGACTCGCGATCTCGAAACTCGGCTCAAAAAGCAGGCAATTAAGCTAAAAGAGATGGATAAAAGCAAACAAGAGTATCTGCTCGAGATAGAAAGACTAAAAACGGAAGTATCTATTGTCGGGCGCTTTCAAATGGGAGCCTCGGCATCAACACCGAAAAAAACATTAAGACGTCATACTTTTGGACACTATGGCAACGTATCACCTAAAAAAGCATCCCTAGGGTATATGCCATTGAAAAATTATCCACCCAAAGAAGAATCATCCGGACGTGAAATGAGGCCTATTCAAGAAGAGACATATGAGGAGGCACTAGCCGAAGCAGAATCTGTGATAGCTGAAGACGTGCAAGTGTACTTAAAAGACAACTCAAAGAACTGGAAGAATCTTTCAATGAGCTTAGAGAATTCACTAAACTAGATAATCAGCTGGAGATTTTGGACCTGAAGAAACAGCTCACAGAAGCCAATTCTAAATTCGATCGTTACAGTCAGGAACTCCGCCAAGTAACGGATGCGTACAACGAAGAAATAGAAAGAGTTCAAAAAAATTCTCAAAAAGCGCAAGAATTTCATCGACTTGCAATACAGACTCGATTTTCTGGAAAAAAATAATAAAAAGACTAAAAACATACGAGTCAGAAATAGAGATGCTGCGTACTCAACTGAAGAACCTAGGAAGATCAGAGAGCCCTAAACCATCTCTTGAAGCTCAAAATATTGAGTCAAAAAAGAAGGTTGCAGACTTAGAAGCTATGCTTGACGCTGAGTACGAAGATATGCAACATTCTTTAAGTGCTGCTGCACAAACTGATGTAACGATGTCACACATTGCTGAACTGCAAGATGAAATTGGCTTCCTAAAAGAACTTGAATCTAAACTGAGAAATGACGTAAAGAGTCTGATGGACGAGAGTAACCAACGTGAGGTCAACCACTCATTTAAAATCTCAGATATACGATGCCATAATGATTCTACTATAAAAGAGCTTCAGGATCAAATGGCTGAACTGGAATGCCAAAACGAAATCTGGATTATGAAAAAGGACGACGAAATCAGAAAATTGCAACAACTAATTACAAACCCGAAGCAGGCTGGCACTTAACCAGAACCACCTGTGCAGGAAGACGTTGCATTTTATAGGGAGCAAGTTGAGTTCTCCCAGAACATGTACAAAAATGAGATAATAGGTGGAGAGTTACGTATAAACCATAGAGAAAATCTTCAGGCAGTTAAACTAGAAATATGTCTACCCTTGTTTAGTGTTTACGATTATTGCAGGGTTTGGACAAAGTTTAGGGCTGATCCCAGTGCTCACAGTGTACAATTTTCAGCTAATAAATCTTGAATTCTGAGGTAACAAAATCAACTAGAACTCTGAAAAAGTGATTTATCAGAAATCATGCCCTTACTTCCATGATAAGAGGGATTCGTAAAAATTATAAGCAGGTTGTGGCTTATTATCTAGTAAAAGATACAAGAATCCCAGATCTGAAAACGATTATTGTTCATGTGATCACAAACTAGCAGCGACTTGGTTTGTGCGTTGTTGGCACTATTTCTAATCAGGGCGCAACGATCAAAAACGCACTTGAGACGATTTGCTCGGAGAATACTCACGGATCAAGTCCATTCCATTTTATAGTCAATGCTCAGAGTATTTCTACAATTTGTGATGAACCACATTTATTCAAAAATGGATGAAATGCTCTTATTGACATTAATATGAAAGTGAAGAAGCTGCACAGATTGAACATGTCTAGAAATCATATAATGTTGATCAGCAAACAAGACCATACAAAGAGCTATGTAAATTGAAACCCAGCCACTTTGATTTTATAGATTCGTTCAAGAATATAGAAATTAATCCTTTAATGATATCGTCGGATGATTCGAGCTTTCTCAGTTATGTGGTGGGGGTCCCGTGACTTCTCATACGGTATGAGCACGTATACCTCAAACCACAGTTTAATTTAAACATCACAATTGTTGGTTTGTTGACTTTGCGGTCAAATTTGATCCGAGGATGTCAGTTGCGTGTACGATTTGAACTTCCTTCACAATGGATTTTTTCGTTGTTGACGGATGAACAATACACTATAGACTACGCCGAGGACGACGCTGCTATCGATCAACCTGAACAACTTCCTATGGGCGACCTCGCTATGCCTATGGAAAAAACATGTACAATTGGTCAAAACGAGCGCCTGCAACTGGTCGATTATTACGCATTTACCTGAACTAAAGTCCGTGGCAACCAATTTGGAAAATAATAACCCTGTGACTCGAGAAATGCCGATAAATTTCTCCAAATACGTGAAATTTTCGAGACACTCATAGAGAACTGTCGAAATTGTTATATTTCGGGTGAGTCCCCTACAAAATACGAGATGCTCGTGGGCCGATGTCCTTCCTGTGCCTACAAGAAAACTAAACCGAATAAGTATGGACTGATGATGCAAAGACTCACCACTACCTGCTCAATGCTTTCGTCTATACGAACAGAAATATCACAGCAGATGACTGGTTCACGTCAGTAGAATTACATGTAGAATTGCGCATCAACCAACTGACCTATGTCGGCAGGAAGCGTAAAAATAAGTAACAAGTACCCCAACATGTAGTTCCAAATAAGAAGGAAACACAGCCAGGTACTTCTAAGTTTATGTTGTACAGCCTTAGAGTAGTATCTTCCAAAACCAAATACACATGTTCTCGTATAGCAATCTATGCAGCATGATAACAAAATAGTAGAGGAATCAAAGAAACCTGATAAGATCCTATATTATTTTTATAACACTATGAAGGCGGGGGGTAATGCATTAGATCGGAAGTGTGTAAATTACAATACTGGTTAGAGAACGAGAAGATGGCCTTGTGCTATTTGGTATCCAACCAGCTTCTGTAAATTCCTTTTTTTTTCAGTCTGGGACTGAAAGTTCCATTAGGCGACGAAATTTTATTGTTCCCCTGAGGCAAACTCTAATTTAACTTCGTATGAGAGGACGTTTATCAGATCCAAGACTTCCTAGGGAGCTTCGTTCAGCCATGCAAAGAATCCTAAATTACCAACGACGAATAAAGTAAGCCGTCTACTTCTCAGCCCAGAGTTCTCGATCCTGATGCAGTTGTTAAAGAAAAAAAACGACGTAGGTGTTACATGACAATACACAATGAAAAAAATGTTCTACAATCTGTAATAAGTATGTAAAGTCACAGCGCACTTACATTGTTTCGTGAAAAGTGATAAATGTTAATTATTGTATGTTTCCTTATACGAGAAAGTATTTGTTTTTGTTGTAGAATATCAACACCAAATATGTTGTTAAATGGCCCATTTTGTTAGTTTTTTTATGTTCATATTACAGTTCAAGTTTCGAGGATTATATTTATTGCA